CGAGGGAAGAGTGCAGGTTGCGAGCAACCTGCAAGCGTTGCTGCTGCCAGCGGCGCGACGCTATGGCTCCTTCGCACGACACGCCAATAAAACGTTTCCACGGGATACGCGCCGCCCGTAAAATGCTAATCGCGCCGATTCTGACGCGTCTTCGAACGGATTTCACTCGCCGACCTCGCGGAAACGGTTGCTCCGTCTTCCTGCCGCCGCCGCCGCCACGAGAGTCCGCGTTCTCCATTTCTACCCCTTATTATGTCGATTGAAGGGAATGTAGAACAGACGGATATTGCGATGCGGCAGTATTAGAGAAACTTAATCGTACCGTACTTAACGCGAGATATTCAACGACCGTCGTAAAACACGACGATGAGGCGCTCGCGGCTCGTCGGGTCTCGCTCGTTCCGACGGCGGATTCAATACGACGATAAAATGTGGCAAGACGCAACGTTTCGTTCGCGTGATTATCGCTGGGATTAGTTCGATTTTTCTTTCAGAGGTTGCGCGCGCGCACCGAAAGATTGCTTTTATCCAGGAAAACCTCGACGGAGACTCGTCAAACCGCGCACCGCGGCCAACTTTCGCGATAAATTGCCGTTAATTCCGAGCGTGAAATCGGGAAAGGATGAAGACTTTACACCTCGGATGCCTTCGCCTGAGAAGCAACACGGTCACGCGAGCCGTGTGTTATTTTAACGCCCGCAACGCGATCGCAGCGTTCTTTTTTTCATCCGAGCAATTACGCAATATATATACACAGACCGCGCTGAGTTTCCTCTTTGATTAAAAGATCCCGAAATAATTCCAAAATGTAACAACGCGCGCGCGAGCATTTTTTCCTTCGGTTCTTCAGATGGGTATGTTGATATCAAGATTTATGACGACCACTCGAAGTGTGTGAGAGCTCGGCGATAGGATTAAAAAAAAAAAAAAAAAAACGAAAAAGAAGGAGAGATAAAGACAGGATAAGCCGGCGAGTTGACGTCAAGTAAATTACGAGATAAAAAATCGACCGCTAGATCACGCCTTTCTAATCGGCTAATATTTTTCATCGCTCTAAGCGGCGGTTAACGAACCCGACCGGCGCGGCGCGGCGGACTCGCGCAGGAGGAAGTGAGGAATTACGGTGCGATTACACATGGGCCGGTTAATAAAACGTTGCGAAAGGATTATGCGACGACGCGGAGAAGCAGGTATTTCGCCCGGGCACGTCGGGATTCGTTACAGGCCGGCGCGTCTCGACCTCGATTTCAAACGAGTGCGCGAGCCCGAGGGATCGATGCCGATTCGAGGCGTGAAATTCAAAGGCAACAGGCCGAGGATACCGCGCTCGTAATGACTCGTAATAAGCGTCAGAGTGCGGCGGTGTAAGCGACTCGAAAAAGTCGTTAACTGGTCGGAAATCGGTAATCACGTGGAATAATCGGCGCCTCTTATAAGTGCTTACGTTTTTGTGCCGCGTATTAGAAAGAGGCGCGCACGCACGCACGCACACACACACACACACATACACGCACGCTCGCGCGCATACACAGATGCACCCCGCGGGTGTTTCACGCGTAAGAAGCGGTTGATGACGCGAGCGTAGGGCGGTTATAGTCGGTCCCCGCAGTGGGCCCTTTCTTGCCCGGGTCCGCTTCCCTCCCCCGCCCTCCCTCGGCCCTTTCCTCGTCGTGTTAATCGGACTCAAGCTGCGCATATCTCGCGGTAATGAGGATTATCCCCTTGCCGTGCAGGGGCGGATGATGACTCTTCGGTGCCTAAAACTCGTTATTTTTGGAAAACGCACGCACGCACGCGCGCACAACGCACAACGCGCAACAAAGAAGAAACTTGAGGACGTGTCGGTGTTGTTTCGAGACTTGCTCTGTCATTTCAAGTCGGGATGATTTCAATTCGTTGCAGTTTTTGTCAGTCAGGTTTTTACGCGGTTAAATCGCCGGCGTTACACCGTTTGCATCTGCTTTTGGGACTCTTTGTACAAAAAAAAACTGAGCGACCTTCAGAACTTGTCACCCGAAGTGTCTAAAGTAAAGCGTCTAAAGTCGTACTCTTCTTTACTCTGCTCGGTTTGCGTTTTAAAGAAATGTTGAGCAACATGATCGGCGATTTGTCGACGGTACGCGAGACGCCAACGTTCGACTCGAATCAGTTCCCACATAAATCCGCACCTGTTTCCGTGAAACGTCTTTTTATTCGGTCGTCACTTACTCCCCTGGAACGCATTCGTCGAAGGAACGAACGAACGAACGAACAAACGAACGCATGTACGTACGTACGTACGGAACGGACGAACGAACGGGATATCCTAATCGTACGGTTCATTATGAGCGCGCGCACGCTCGCTCGCGATGACTATGACTGATGCCGCGGCACGACGAATTGCGATGCGCATTACGAATAAATATCGCACTCTTTGCTCCGCTCGCGCGTCTAATGCGGCCGCTCGCAGATGGCCACTTGGGTGGGTTTCGAAAATGTGCGCACACGCGGCCGGCACGAAATAACGCGCGCGCTCGCGCGCGCGATTAAATTAAATTGCGAACGCGGCTTTTCATCAGATCGCGAGCGCGATAAACATATGTTACGGCATGATGTTGCCCAAGACGATCGATTTATCACCGCGATCAATCACGCGCCCGCCTTAATTCCCGCGGCGTTTAGCGGCGAGGTAACAATGCGGCGTTGTAGGCGGCGGCGCTCGGGAAATGTATCCGTCAGCGCGGAAACTCGAGCGATTGGATTCAATCCAATGGTGGAAGCGCGCCAAACTCGAGATAGCCGTGGAAAAGAAGGAAAGAAACATACAAAACAGACCGGCGTTACCGCTGGTAAGAAGAAGATAATCTGACCAATTCGACGAGATCGCGCGCGAAGCATAATTTCGATTCACGGATAACAACACTTCGATGATCAATTATCAATTACAATACCAATTACAATCCCCGTCGTGAATTACATCGTCTCCGTTACCGCAAATTATAGTTCCCCGGCAAACGCGTTTGAAAAAGAGAGAGAGAGAGAGAGAGAGAGAGAGAGAGAGAGAGAGAGAGAAAGAGGAAACGGTTCCCGGTCGATCACGGGGCACAATGCAATTTATACAGGAACGAGAAAAGAATCCGAGAACTTCGTTGTTAATTTGAGGCTCGCGTAATTTGGATGGAAATCGAATTACCTTCGCGGAAATCGCGGTTACGCTCGCACGGGGCGGCGCGGCGCGGCGCGGCGCGACGAGCCGAGGCGAGACGTGCGAGATTCCGTGGCCGCCATCTATCTTCGGGTGCGCTGGTAGCGAAGAAAGAGGGCATAATTAAATTAAATTAAGCTCGGGACGAGCTCTCCTCTCGGCCTCCTTCCGTGACTTCCTTTCCGTCGTTCCGCCGCCGCCACCGCCGCCGCCACCGCCGCCGCCACCGCCGCCGCCGTCGTCGTCGCTGCCGCCGCCGAGTCGGTCGTCCTACCGGCGGCGATAGTCGCCCCGACGCCGCCTTTATTTGCAAGCAATTTGCGCTCGCGGATCGCGCGGCAAAAAATCCGAAAATAATGCTCGCGTATTAATCATACCTCTCCGCGCGCCCGCCACGTCCTCCACCCGTCGCCTTCGTGACGTCTGTTCGCTGCGCTTCCTCCGCGAGGGGTCCTCTCTCTCTCCCCCTCCAACTTCCCCCCTCTCTCTCTCTCTCTCTCTCTCTCTCTCTCTCTCACTAACTCGACGAGAGCCCCTCGTCGACGCGCCCCGCGTGTCCGACACGTTGCCTTCTTCCCGGGCCCCTCTACCCGCCGGCCCTGCTCGCAAAAATGCGTTCCCGTTCGTTGCAGGCACATAGCTGTGCAATCACGTGCGCGAGGTTCTTTGTGGCGTGTCTCTTTCTCTTTCTCTTTCTCTCTTGGGAGCCCTCGCGCGCGCTGCCTGAAATCGAGTCCGAGGAAGCCGAGGAAAGAAGCACCGCGCGCCGGACTGCGCGCTCGGCTCTTTAGCAACCTTTGGCAAATTAGTCTGGCCGGCGAAATTCCTAATTTCAATGTGTAACGCGCTCTCGCCCCACGGCGCGTATGTACGTCCCCCCTCGGCCCCCTCCCCTGTCTCCCGCCCAGCGTTGCACGCGTCGCTCCGACGCTGGCCGACCGGTGTAAATTTAGATTACAAAGGCTGAGAACCCCGATCGATCCGGCGTGTCGGCGCTTGTCAAATTGCGGCGGTGACGGAGGAGTAATAGGGCCGCATTGAATTGCGTATTTGAAACTTACGTACGTATGTAAGTTCGTAACGACCGGTGGCTGACTCTAACGATCGCGAGCGCGAGCCGCTATTTCGTGACCGCTCGGTAGAGTAGGTGTGCTCGAGTGGAAACGAAAGCGCAATTAGCGTGATATCGTTATGACGCCGGGGCGAAGTGGCGGTTTTGTAAGTACGTACTATCAGAATTGCGATTGCTAATTATCGTGAGGAGAACGAGATAAGCGGAACCGGGGCAGCGAAAAGGGAGTTTAAACGCTGGGCAATCTCGTGACCGCGAAAGCGGCCACTCCGGCCGAAGCCCGCGTTCTCTCTCTCTCTCTCTCTCTCTCTCTCTGTGCGATTAACGCGATATCGTTACACTTAATTTCCCCGAAGCCGGCGTTTTTCGTCGTGGCGCATTCTGCCGCAACGTATTTATCACTGATTGGCAACAATCACGGGCAAACTGGAGATCATTATGGAAATGACGTTAAACGATTGCGCGACTGCAGACGCACGCTGCTGCTGAAGTAGAAACCGCGGTTGAAGCCGCGTAAATATCGCGGTGGGGTTCGCGTGGAAAAGCCGCGAGTTTTAAAGTCGCTCAGGTGTTTCGAGCAGCTGAAAATCTGTAATATCTGTCAAAGACATCAGCATCAAAATGTATGAAGAAAAAAAACAAAAAAGTATCAAAATATCCCGAATATCGAGAGCATTATCAAACTCAAAATATGTATGTTTCCGTATTAAAAAATTATTGGGAAGGTAAAATAAACAACAGGTATCTAAGAATGTAAATTGTAAGTATCAACAGAGCTTGAAATATACATTCCGTAACGGAATAGTCAGTTTCGATAAAGGGTAAAACAGAGAAAGAATGCGCGTTTGCAAGGTGTGAGATCGCATTCTGTTTACAATGTGTCGAGTCGCGATCAGCGCGAAGCTCCCGGTTGCTTCTTTGGCTTCTTCAGGGGTTCGAGGCCACTGTCGTACTCGGAGGTATTGAGCATCCTGACCCTCTTCAGTAACCCCGTTCTTTGTCCCTCGCCGTCTTGACCCTTTGGTACCTTTTGTGACACTCCGTCGGATCTGAAAAGCGTGGCACCCGGCGCGCGCTTTAATTCTCGCATTAGGACTAACCGGCAATTTTCGGTAATTCGACGTAAACGACATGTGGTGAGGACAGAGCACGGTAATCGGAAATTGAGGAAAAGAAAAAAAGGCAAGGGAGCGCGCGCGCGAGCGAGCACGCATCAAAATCGAGGATACACCCTGCGGATGGACGGAGGTGGGCTTCCAGCAACTGCCGTACCGAATTTCATGTTCGCCACTCCGCTTTTTGTCCACCGCTCGGCGTCACGCACGAAATACGCATTATCTTCCTTTACGGCCTATGGCACTTCCCGTTTAGTCGGCGGTTCGCGTACATACACGACGTTTTATTATTAATTCTGCCGCGGCGGAATCAACATCGTTTTCTCTCTCGACTGCGGAGAAATCTGCGAAGAAACGCGCATAGGAAAGCTTGAGAAATATCGCCCAAGCTTTGCGCGCGCGCGTGTCGTGTTATCATAAAAAGTAAAATATAAATTAGTCAACCAGGGGGAGTAAATTCATTGGCGGCATTGTCTCGGTCTCGCCAAACCCGGTTCGCGACCAAATGTCGCGAATTGAAAGCGGAAAGAGTGCCGATGAGAGAGGAATGCACGGACGCGGGACATTGGCCGTCGTGCCTGCAAGCCATAGGATGACATTGGTCGTTGCAATTGCAAAGCATATGCGAATTGATGGCTACGCAGAACTTGGTTGAATAGTGTTTCGCAGCGATCGGCTGCAAGGAGGACGGTGTGAACCCGCGGCGGGCATACACACACAGAACATACATCTTTGCGAGCACACATGGGCTAGGCACACATATGTACACACACACACAGCTGCATAGGTAATCGCACCCACAGAGGCGTACACCGTGGTCGTCTCTCGATCCATTGGACCGTCAGCTCAGTGCCCGCCTTTCACCCATTAAAACTGACTCGTTCTCTCCCCGGGTGGAGGGCACCAGTCGGTTGCCCGTCGTGTTCACCCAAAGCACGCCCATTCAAATCGCATTAAACACGTTAATGCGTAATGCCGGTCCCGGGGAAAAAGATTCACCGCGCGTAATGCGAAAAAAACAAAGAGGAGATAGAGGAGACTGTGCTGCTTGTAGAGAAAGAGAGGAGGGGAGAGAGAGAGAGAGAGAACGTGCGGCAACAGCAGCGTAGGCAAATGATCGCCGGAGAACACAGGAATTATAAAGCTCCCCGGTAAAAAGGCCGGAGGGTGGCCGCGTGTGTGATGCAGGCCGCGACGTGATACATGAAGCAGAAGGGAACGCTCCACGTTGGCGTAGACAGAAATTACGAAGTACAGCGACGTGGTCGTAGTTAGACCTTGGCTCGTTTGCGGCGGTGATAAAGGAAAGCGCGACGGGCCAAATGAGGCGGGAACGTGGCAAGCACCACGATGCAAAAGTACCGGGGCGTATGGAGATTAGATTAGACGCTCGGATCTCGGCGCTGCACGGAACATAAATATAATTGCCGTATTTATTCGCCGTGGAAAAATGCAAAAGTTCGGCTGAAGCTTCGGCTCAGTGTCCTATCCCGCGTCTCGATCTCCCATCACGTAAGTGAATCACGGAAGTGAATGAATCACGTGAAGTGAAGAAATTGCGCATCCCACGACATTGAAATCGAAAACGATGCACGAGTGGAAAGCGCGCGAGTCGAAAAATCAGGGCACGCGGGAGGGCACACGAGCGAGGAGGAACGGGCCGCGGATAGAGGTGACGGTCAGGATTTCGAGAACGCGAGCGAGACGGAACGACGGGGGCAAAGAGAGGAGAGGGAGGCTCGTGCTCGTCCCGTGGTTTCCGTAAATGGCGCAGCCACGGCCGGAAGTGGCGGTCGCATCAGTCTGTTTAATAGCCGTATTGTATAATTATGAACAATGGAGAGAGAGAGAGAGAGGGAGAGAGGGGGGGGGGGAGAGAGAGAGAGAGAGGCATGGAGAGCGACGGAGAGAAGCCTGGAGAAGGGCAGAGAAGCCAGCAGAGTGCCATGTGAAATGCACACCGCTGAAGATAGAACGAGAGAGAGAGAGAGAGAGAGAGAGAGAGAGAGAGAGAGAGAGAGAAAGAGAAAGAGAGAGAGAGAGAGAGAAAGAGAAAGAGAGAGAGAGAGAGAGAGACACCGAGACCGAGGGAGACAGAGAGCGAGAGTACGAGGCAGAGCGGGGAGGAGAGAGAGGAATGAGACACATTTGTCGCGAGTGAGCGAGACAATGCGAGTTAGATGGAGTGAAATGGAGGGAAAGGCCAGGGGAATGGAGAACAACGAGGACGACCACGATGAGAGCCGTATGGCTTATGGCGCTGCCAGCCACCGTAGAGCACGTCCGCCCGTTCGTCGTACATGACGGATGACACAGAGCGACAGTTTTGATGCGTACAACCTCTCTAGGAGCCGCACGAGCTGTCCTAGTCGCGGCGTGTGCGTGTCCTACGTGCGATAAACGCGCGGACAACGGCAGAGGGAGAGGGAGGGAGGGAGGGAGGGAGGGAGGGAGAGAGAGAGAGAGAGAGGGGGAGGAGAGGGAGAGAGCCGGCGATGTGCGCCACGGTTAGCACGCTAAGCCACGCGTGAATCCGTCATTAATACCGTCACTCCGGAGACGATGGAGTCTGCGATCGCCTGGCTGAAATGTCAGCTGAGCGGGTCAAGAGCCGGACCATTTGTGCTGTTCTCTGCCGAAATGGGAGCATATTGTTCGCCGCAATTGTGCGTGACGCGGATTGTACGCCTCTGAACTCCGAGCTGAGGACGAATGAGGGGCTCGGTAGGAGTAAACGGGACTTTGGAAGCACATTGGTCGTTGACATTCGAAGAGAAGGAATTCGTACGTTAATGCGACGTAAAAGTCACCGAACGAGACTGTACTTACGGCTTGTTTGACAGTCGATTGTTGTGCTTGGGCCTCGAGCTCTCTTCTTCGCGTAGTCTCTTGCTGATCCCGCCGATTCGCTGCGGCGGATCCCTCAATGCGAAACTCTTCGCATAGTGACCCAAGTGAAGCGCCTTCCGATTGAATATCTCGCGCATGTCGCGGGGGTAACTCGAATAGAAACACACCCAGGAGGCGTACGCTAAAGAGGAGAAAGATTATCGTGCAAGATGAAACGATTGTCACGTCGATCATCGCTCGTCCCTACTGAAGACACATTTTGTCGAATTTTGTTACGTTGTTAGTTCTCTATTACACGTGATGAGAAAGAAACATGCTGCAAAGTGCATTAATTAATTCGCAATCAGTCTCAGATCGATTGATCAATTCAACACTTTCACACGTCATAATTAGTCGTTACACACACACACACACACACATGCGTTGCATTCAGCACAGTGAGAGACATTAGACTTTATCTACTGAACGAAATCAAGTCTAAAAAGCGAGAGGCGCGCGGCATCTTCTTCGAGTACACTCATCTCGCTCGCGTCCTACGCTCAAGAGGTCACGTGCAACTCGGATGTAATGATCAGTTACATGTAGTGCGCCCTTATTAATCGCAGTTCCATTAGGTTCCACGGGGGTTGGCCCGCGCGATTCCGTGGGGTGTGTGCGCGCCCCGTGGCGGGCTATTAAGGGGCATTAACGGCGAGGGAGGAGGGGGGGGGGGAGTAGTCGAGTCAAGTGCTGCAGCTAATAGTCACCCTCGCGTCCCTTCTTAACGTCTCGTGCTTGTGCGCGCGGGTGAGAAACTCGGGGGATCTCTGGTCCTGAGAGAACTCAACATGTGCGCGCCGGCACGCCGTTCCGTGCGAAAAATCTCCCGACTCCCGGCGGGAGTGGACGAATTTGGTTCTCCGGTTCTCCGGTTTGTAGGCCGTCTCATTTCTGTGCGCGTCTCAAAGAGCAGGATCTCTAAACGCTAGACCGATAATTGCCAATTATTATTATCGTCGCTGATGACAATTGTCGAATGAGAGAAATATTTAAATCCCTCGTTTTGTACAGTGAACTGCTCCTATTTCTTTTCTTTTTTTCCTAACCAATTAAATGCAGCGCAGAAGCTGAGACTTGTTTTTAGTATCCGACCGAGCGAGCGAGTTTCTTTCGTTCGAAAGTCAATCGATACGACTGATTCAGAGTCGCGAGTAAACGCGTTCCGTTCGGACCTTCCGCCCGCGCGCACAAGTGTCCGCAATTTTCATAATTCTCTCGCGGTCGGACTTATGTCCCGACGTTTTCCGTCCTGATTTCCGTCTGCTTTCAATCCCGACCCCTCCTCCCTTCCGCGCATAAGAAAGCCCGCTGAAGTCTTTCTCGTGGCTTGGTGTCAGCGTTGAAAAGGGAGAAATGTTTTTCTCCATTTAGCACATAAATCACACGCGGGGGCGGTGTGTCTAGCTGAGAAGCCGGAGAGGCGGAGAGAACGGGGTGTAAGAGTGGGGTAGCATTGTTCCTAAGTGATGTAACTGCGTCTTATTGTATTTGTATCCTGTATCGCATTGTTAAGAGTCTCTCGCCACAAAGCGTAAGTGGTTTTGGCGGAAGTCACATTCAGTGGTTGGATTGTGTCGGCCACCCCCTGTGAAAGGCGCGCGAGCGATGTACACTGAATTCGATCTAACTCGCGAGACGAGTGCGCGAGATCGGATCGTCGACGACCGTCGAAAAATATGCCGGCGATATAATTGAGCGAAGTGGCTCTTTCTTTGATTCAAAGAAAGCGTTGCCTTGTAAAAGGTCGATTTTGAATTCGTTCGAAAAAATGTGAAGCAGAGATGCGAATTGATCGCTTCAGAGTCGTGCAAATATGATCTGATGTATCGTGAAAACACATCAATTCAATTTCTATATTGTTATATGCGTAAATGTAGGTGATCTGAGTGAATTAGGCGATCGAATGGAACTATCCGATGATGAAATCTACTACGAGCGAGATGCCATCGTATATTAATTACCCTCGTCCTGTCAAGTTTTATTAAAAAATGCTAGCGAAGAACTACGACGAATGGGATATAGGCGAGCGCCGACACGAGGCTCAAAACGTATATATGGGATGGAGTGGATGAATCCCTCAGGTTAGTGGCGAGGGTCGCATTCGGCTCGGGGGTCATTCTATAGAGCTGTACTTGCTATTGAAGGCTGTTCGGCTCTATTGGGGTGATAATGTTACGAATTAGCGAGATTTCCACTTCTCCGCTCGTCGGCCAGCCTCCGCCGCGCATCGGTCGCGAATTAAATAAATTTCGGAATTGCCGCGAGGATATCGCCCACGTACCGCACTATTCCCCATTGTGCGTCTGTTGCGCGAACGTCTTTACGATCTTAATTCCAACATTGAAGTGTACTGTGTATTATTACGTATTATTACGTCCGGTACGCGATGTTATCTCGCCGACTCAGAAATAACTGATGGTCTCGAGTCAACCAGCAGATCTGACTTTAGATGAGAAATTGTAGAAACCATTAAAAAGAGAGAGACACACACACAAACATAAAATATCGCTTAGATCGCTGAAGATTATTTTTCTTCGCGAGGAAAAATTGCAAGTCCTGGAGAATGATAAGTAGCTTACTTTGAGAATGGCGAAGCAATGCGTAGCAAGTGGCACGCTATCTCTCTCATGAGAAATTAATTAAGTACTTTTGAATATTTCTATTCGTCAAGAAGGGAAGAATTTGCCAGAGTAAGTATTGTTTACAGGTACGATTACTTTTGCCGATACATACACACACACACACACACAAACACCTCCCGTTCGTTCCCCCCGTAACCCCAGTTCCCATGCGAAAAGTGCAATACCGGGGTCACGACCGACGCCGGCGGCAATTAATCTATCAATCACCGGCTACGTGCGGAGGAACGGTCAAGTGGTTAGCTGTGTAACGTCACTCAAATCTGGAACGGCTAAGCGCTCAAAAACCGTGGCTAACCTTCGTGTAAAGCCTCGGCTGATGCGGGACAATTTCGAAGCTCGAAAACCTCTTAAAAAGATTAATGATCCTGAATTTCCTTTTTGGTATCGCTTGTCGTTCGTGCGGTCATAGCAATCGACCACAGTATCGCGACAGAGTCGTTAATGCACTCTCACGAAAGTAATCGTCGCGAATCGTTTCGCATTACGTCGTCATTACCGCCTTAATAAGACGGACATTTCCCTCGGATTTTCCAGACTCGACAGTGGCATTCAATTGTACAGCTCTGTGAATATAAATATTCATACTTAGAAACGATCGAGTTACTTTCGAGCACTTTTTCAGGTAAAGCGACCGAATAAAGGAGGCATTTTATACATAAGGAAGCAACAAGTTAATTGACGATATTTATACGAAAAGACGGACGGACCCGCGGGAGGAAAAAAGAAAAAAAAAAACACAGTTCATCGTGTGCGCGAAGAGGGCTAATGTCTTCACTTCACGAGTATCAGACCGGGTATAATGGATTTATTATTGCAGCAAATAAATTCTTCTCCGTAACGACCCTAATAGAGTAACCGCGGCATAGCAAACAGGATCATCCCTCCTCGCCCATAGACTATGTAAATATCCAAGTGGCGAACGAGGCGAATGTGAAGGGAGACGAAATAAGAGCCCCATAACGTGTGCGCGCAGGGGTTGCTTTATATGCGAGGAGGGCGCTCGTTGGAATTGGCTTAGTCTACCCTGAAGTCAGCTCGCTTTCGTTACAATCCAACTGCGTCAAAGTAGATGTTCAGCTCATCCTTCGCGACTCCTCATCAACACCTCGCCGACCCTCGCCCGCGACGGCGAAGATTTAAGCTTTTGTTGCACGCGCGCCTCTTGAAGTATGCACTCGAGTATACATGCCGATAACAGCGAAAAAGCTATTTAATCGCTGCCACGACACACACAACGATTTATCTCACTACCGTGTCTCGCTCAAAATTTCGTGTAGTTTCATCAGTAAATTACCGGCTCGCAAACTCGGCGTTAGTATCTCGTCCGTGAGTGTTATGTCTCGGTCTCGTTTTAGCCAACGACATGATGGCAAATCAATTTCCGACACTTCAAAGCCGATGCGAAGGATCGATTGCGTGCACACATCGTGGCATTGTAAAGCAGCAACGCTCACCTTTGCACGCTTTCGCGTTAAGCTGCCGATTCTCCAAGAGCAGATTCTCAAAGTCGTTTTGAAGAGCGGTAGCCGCCGCTTGCACAGAGTTGTGCTTAGAAAGAGGCCCCAACAGCTTGTCCAAGACATCGTTCATGTCCTGCTGTTTGATTCTGATACGCCTCGACTCGAGCATCCGTACGAAGTCGATCTCCGAGGGCGTCAGGAAGATCGTCCCCGTGCCGGAGGACCCGGCGCGTGCGGTCCTACCGATTCGATGAACGTAATCCCTGGCCGAAGTCGGTCCCGTATACTGAACGACGCAGTCCACCTTGGGCATGTCCAATCCTCGTGCTGCGACATCCTAAACAATTGAAAAGAGGAAGCACATCTCACACCTCATCGCCAAGCGACTTATCCAACTTGTCTCTCCAGCGAATGCTTTCCGTTCCGTTTCCTCGATAAAGAGAAGTGAGATCGCCTTGATTCGTGATCGATTAAGATATCCGCCATTAACGCTCATATTTGCGATTCTCTCGTACAGTCTTGACTCTTCCTTTCCCCGACGTGAAGCAATTCGAGGCGAAATCGGGACCTGACGTATTCTAACGGTGCGACTTGTCTTATTCCGGGACAGTGTCACTTCGCTAGTTATCGCGCTCCTAATCTCGAGTAGTAGACTGCACGAAGAAGAGGCAACGGCGAGTCTGCGACCTGCTGCTGGTGCAAATGTCTTACAAACCGCGACGTGATTTCTCGTTTTGTGGCGACGTGAATGCGCGCGGCTGGCAGCGGGCGCCCGCTGCGAGACCCCAACGGCGAACGTTTGAGCACGGCCCTGATTTTCTACGTTCGGCTAGTCGATGATTTACCGTGTCGAGAGAGCGCACGGAGCCTCTCTCCGCTTGACGGGCCCCGGGGACTAATCCCAGACCACCAGTGGGGGGGCGTCGCGGCACCCCGGAATTCTTTCGCGGCACGATACGGACGTATCCGTGTATTCTTATTACATCTTTTCCTCCTATTAATTCAACACACGTCGACGATGGCGCGACCCGGGCGCCAGTGTGAAGGAATACGAGAAAGGAGCCTCCGACCTCTCGAAATAAATATCGATTGGACCGATATCCTTTTCCCCGGGGCTCGCCCCGTGAAACTCCCCTCCGTTACACTCGACGCCTCGATAAATATCGGTACAAAGAGAAAGTAATCTCTAGCTAGCTTTTGATTACGTACAATTAAGAATATAAATTAGGAACGAGGACAACTCACACGCGGGAGATGGAGAAGCAGAAGAAAATCACGAGGTGATCGGTATTGATGTTTTTCTTCACGAAAAATCGAGAGAGAGAGAGAGAGAGAGAGAGAGAGAGAGAGAGAGAGAGAGAGAGAGAGAGAGAGAGAGAGAGCCAATTTGAAAGGAGAAAATCCTAACACGTACGTCACATCGGAAATGAAATGGGAAGTCACCCACGTCGGATATTTTAATTCATTCTGTCGCTACGGTCGCCGCTACGGTGAATTTTTTTCAAAGGCAGATTTCTGCCGGGCGGAAGCTTGACGCAAACTTTGCAAAGCACCTGGCAATGATTCGCGCGGCGACGTGTAAGCGGAGCTTACGTGTGCACTTAGCGCATTAAAATGATACAAGCACGGTACTTGCCACCGGTTTCGTGGCGCGATCGAAAGAAAGCGGCGATCGATGGCGGCGATTAAGACAAACGATCGTTTAAGAAAGGGACCGAGCTCGCGGGCTGCAGGATCGAGAACGGATTGCCCCCTCAAAACATCTCACTCGGGCCATAGATCACACCGGTGAATCCGGATCCACCACCGCTGAGAGCCGCGGAACATTCCGGCCGCGCGGGTGCCCTCAACGGGCTTTTCAACGTGGAAATTAATAACGCCGCCGTAAAACCTACGTGGTAGCGACGCCGTAAAACGTGGGCGGCTGCCATCGCACATTCCGCGGATCAACATTAAAGAGTTAAATATGCCCGACGTCTCTCTAAGTACATAGTAAATTATTCCGCTTTCCACCCTCCGCCCCATCCCTCCTCTGCCTCGTGCCCGTGTCGATGTTGGAAACGCCGCATACACACGTCGATGCGAACTCGCGAATGTACGAATGACGTGACGAATTACGTGAAAAACACGCACGGACGACGCTGATTTGCGAGGACAGATCGGGACGTGTTCATTCGGGGTAATGAATATCGGAACATCGATCGACCTTTAAATCATTATAAAGCAGCGCGCGGATCTCCGGTTATTGTACACTCGCGTGCTTCTAAAGAGATGCAAATGCACGTTCGATCGTAATTTCAATCTCTCGGCATCTTAATCGGTTCACCTTGTCGCGCCGCGCCGCGAGGTGTGTATCGTTCCACTCGCAGTGTAATTTCTTTATTCAAAGTTTGACTCGCCGGATAAATTACTGCGTACTGCAGGAATCTCGGGAACGAATGAAGACCGCGCGAGAGAATACCGCTCGCGCGGGAAGCTATAAAGTCCGACGACAAGCGTTCGACTGTTCGGAATCAATTTTGTATAAAATTCGATCGTGTTGTCCCGCTTTCCCGCGATAATAATTCGTGACACGAGTCCCAGACTCGCAACCCGAAAGAACGGCTCGCCAATTAATCGCGATGTATAGGACTTAACGAGGACAGGGAGGAGAGAAAGGAAGGGAGAAAGGGAGGATAACGAGGACTCGCGGCAAGACTTCGGAATTTTCGTCGGTTCGATCACGGGATCGCCTGATGGAAAAGAATTAATTCTCACGCGCTGCGCGTAAGTTGTCACTCGTTTGCGTGACGCCGATCGTGAAGTTCACAATCCGCATCGTCCTGCCGCGATTTAATCTTTTTTTCCTCTCCTTCCATTTGTGTGCGTTCTTCCGATGTCCGCGATACTTTCGGACACGTGAAAGCGCCATAACAGTATTTCACGTTAAAATCTAAATTGGCCGATGAGGAAAGATATAATGAGACTAGCGCAATTTCGTTTTTCGGTAGTCCCCGCGCGCGTCTAACGACGAAATCGATCGCTTTCACCGGTAATTACGACGGTTAAGATAGCCGTCGTGAGTTCAGCGCGAAAATCAGAAAGGTGCTCTGTTATTCGACATCGGATTAATTCGGCCGATGTAATACGAATGTAATTAGCGACGGGGAAAGAAAGTTACCCGTTACGTCGCGAACATTATAACGTCATGATTAATTATGCCGTTCACGGAATGCAATTAGCGAGCAAGCAGGCGCCTCTATCGAGTATCCCGTAAATAGATAAATATTTCGGGGCGGCGTATCTATCAACGATGCGATTTAAAAATATCCTACCATTAGATAAGCACCTCGCGGCCGAAGCTGCGATTTATCTGGCGCAGGAATTGCGTACAGAGAAAAAAGTAATATTGTTGCGAATTTCGACTTACTAAACGATTGCTTCACCGCGAGTAAAGAAACTACACACACACACATATACACACTAGGATACAGGACTGACAAATGATCGTAATTATACTCATTACGAAAACTTCATGCGTCCGCATAATCTTTAACCACTGATCTCAGCGTGGGTCCGGAGATATTAAATTCCCTCCCGAAAGAGTAAGCCGCGCGATAATTTACAACTCGGGGGAGTGCCGGCAGATATACCTGACTTTTCTTCGTTTTACGAGGCTGTCTCTTTCGCGAGTCTTCCTTCTTAGTTTTATTTAATATTAATTGATACCACGTCTATGAAGCATCTTACACTACGCGATATATTTATAGCACGTAGGCGATCTAATAAAAGAACATTTAACCGATATACGTCCGCAAATAATCTTTGTAAACAATTGGAAGGTTTCGTGCAATTTTCGGCAATTGTGAAATTGTGAGACTCACCGTGCACAGTAGTACTCCGCTTTTCGCTTGCCTGAACGTTTTGAAAACTTCCGTCCTTTCTTTCTGCGGCATGTTACCGTACAGTTTAAAAAATTCTACGTCAACCAACGGATCGGAGTCTTCGTCATCGTCGTTGATCGGTTTCGTAAGGATAGATGATAAAATCTCGGTATGATAGTCCACCATGTCTTGCGTGGCCATAAATATCAGTATTTTGTGCTGTCCGGGAGTCTACATAACGTACGGGAAAAAAGAAAAAAAGAATTGTACAAACAGTTTCAAATGATCGCGAATAAAATCGCGATGTCGCCTTTCCAACCAAAGTGTTCCTCACCTGACACTTTCCGGCGATATAAGCACTCAAAGTGACCATTCTTAATTTAGGTGGAGTGACTATGTAATTTTGGCTCACACTTTGCGGCACTACCAAATCTTCATTGATCTCACTGACGTCTCCGGCACTCATTTCTAGATTTGCTTTAGCCGCGTCAACGAAGATCGGGCTCCGCATCGCCAGACCCGCTAATTTTTCGACGGCTTGCGTTAATGTCGCGGAAAGTAGAATCGTCTGTCTTCTCGATTGATCTTTATCTTCGCGATTTTGCTCGATGTCTCGAGTACTTTCCGCTTCCGAGACGGATTTTTCAACCGCAATAGAATGTTTTGTACCTTTTTGTTTTTTCTTCATTGGAACAGCATAGTTGGAGGTTTCTTCGTCATCACTAGAATGATACGTCTGTTTTTGTTTTTCATTATCGGCACTGCCTTTTGTTATTTCATCATCTTTTTCTTCCGTACTTTCCTGTTTTAGAGTTTCGATATCTTCGTCTGTATACACCTTTTTAATATTTTGCTTTTTTATAGGATCGTATCCTGATTCGTCTTTGTTAGTACTTGATACTTTTAAAGCGCTCACTATCCTAAATTATAGAATATGCATGTTATGTATTAATCATACGTAACTATCGACGTTAATATGTTATTCTATTCAGTTTTCACCGACGATTCGTCGACAATTGTCGCTTCTTTGCAAAGCTGAAAGAACTAGGCAAAAACCTACCCAGAGATGTCTTTTTCATATCCCATATCGAGCATTCTATCAGCTTCGTCTAACACAAAATATTTCACCTCATGCAATTTCAATGCTTTCGTGTTCTGCATGTGATCTAATAATCTACCGGGAGTAGCTATTAACACGTTACATCCTTTCCTCAATCGAGCCTTTTCTGCTTTTCTCTTTTCTCCACCAATTAAATATCCCGGTACGATCCATGTAAATGGCTAAAAAGATTGAAATGTAACTCTGATATGTGCGTACATGCGTGAAACAAATAATGATACATTTTTAATGTTTTCTTAACTTACTTTAACCAATTTTATGAAACACTCGTATGTTTGTAAAGTCAATTCTCTTGTTGGCACAACTATAAGAGCCAACAAACCAGAGTTTCTATTTAACTTGGGCCTGATTTTGTGTAATAATTCAACAATGGGTATGGCATATGCTAATGTTTTCCCAGAACCTGTCTGAGATCTTACTAAAATATCCTTAGCTGAGAATATTTGAGGAATCGCTTTCTGTTGAACCGTAGTCATCTTTGTAATATTCATATTTTGTGCTAAATTTGATATCTGTAAGAGGAAATTATTGAAAATCATTGATTTCGGAGAACATTTTTAATACTCAATATGTTCTTGCTCCATATAATAGATATATAACAAACTAACCATATGTGAATGAATATTGAGATCTTCAAAAGTAATCTCTGTAAAAATTGGCTCATCCACAGGTTTCACGAATCTCTGGCCTATGGTCGGTATATCAGGATTATTGCCAAACAAGGAGGAGATTTTTCCTCCAGGTCTGTGCGATAATCTTGGATTCTTGTCTAAGTCCCTGTCATCATTTGCTAACTTTTCTTTATATTTCTTTCCAATTTTTTTATTTCTATCCTTTCCTTTTTGTCCATCATTTTCTGCTCTTCCCTTTTTACCTCTTGAAGCGGATGGTTCGTTAGCTGCTATTTCAGATTCTTTGTCCTGCACATTACTTCTACTAATGTCATGCTTTTGAATCGTGTTTATATTTAATTGCGTCTGATTCTTTATTTGACTTGAGAATATGTCGGAAAGAGATTTCTTTTGTTCATTCCCTGATGCATGTCTCTTTCTAACTAACAAAGTTTTACCAATATCTCCTTTTAGCACCTTTGTAAAGGATACCATCGGTTCATTTGTGCTTTCAGAACTTACAGTGGATGGAATTTTGTCAGATGCTGGAGCTTTTTTGTCTATTGTATCAGATTGTTTAATCTTTCCTGTTTCTACAACTTTAGCTTCTGTATTTTTAGCTTGAGATGAAACCTGTGACTGTTGTGGTATATTACGAGCAATAGCATTTGTGTCTTTTAATTTCTTAGCAAAGATATCCGATAGAGATTTCTGTTTAATTCTTGTTTTACCTCCCATCTTTTGTGTATTCATATTTCTTTTCGATTCCTTATTATTAACGGTTGTACCTTCTTGCAAAGATTGGTGCTTCAATCTTTTAACCAAAGTCTTACCTACCTTGTCTTTTTTCTGTTAGTTGAAACGAAAACATTTATTATATGTTAATTCAATCATCTATTCTTATGTATTTATTAAACTACTACGTATTAATTATGTGCAACTTGTGCGATATTTCTGAAATTTTCTACGTTCACATTATTTTCACACACCTCATAACCTAACCTAGCGCCTACCTTCTTCGCGGTAACAACTGGCTCTGCCGTTACGTTTAAACAAATGTCCATTTCTTGAATTGCCATCGTGAATAAAATGTGAACTGCTTAGCAGGAAATAATTATTGTTCTGTATTACATACACTATTTTTACACACACTTCACGCAATAAAATACGCAAAAATATCACGCAACTCAGGGCAGTCAGTCGGACCACATGGTCACGCACGTTGTCAAGATACAGTAAAATGCGCGCATGCGCACGTTCGGAGTGCTATTTGGAGTGCGCTAATGTCGATAATATGAGAGACATTAGGCAGTTCTTGCAATACCGTCTCTCAGATACGATAAACGTAAGTCGTGAATGTTATTCGCTCAGAAATAACGTCGCAATGTACGCGACCATTAGCATTCACGATTTACGTTTACCGTATCTGAGAGACGGTATTGCAAAAACTCCCTAATATTCTTGAACGTGCATAATACATTTTCCTACGGTGTTTTCAGCATCATTGTGTATATTATTACACACATGTAGCAAAAAATATTAAATAATTTAATTTCAAATCCCAAGAGGTTTCAATTTCCCAAAATTGTAAATAAAAAGAATTTTCATACGTGTACTCGATAATAAATCAACACATGTTTCGGGAACAACAAGCCTCGTATACTTCAAAATGCGACACTTGCAACTTTTGCATATGTTATAACATTATTGCATATGTTATAACATATATTTTCTTCATTGAAAATGATTTATCGTATTGAATTCTTACAATGTTTGTATAAATATGTATATAATCCATATATTTCAATAAAAAGTAAATTTAATAACTGGTTTAAAAACCGGTAGAGATAATTGAAGACATTTCCACTCAGATGCGACGATAAAGCGGCATATAATAACGCTATGGGCGAAACTCGATTATCATTATTACGACGCTAATGTGAATCATCGACGCGTCTTTCTGACGCAGGTAGCACTGCCGCGACGATATCGCGATAATCGAGAGCGGGATAGCCGTGTGAGTGTGGCGCCCGTTAAAGCCAGTTCTTCATCTAGCAAACGTCACGGCGAGTCAGAATAGCGTGGAGGAATATTTGTTAACAGCTTTGACACACCGGGGAGATTGTTCGAGCGGCGCGACGGTACACGAAGCTCGTCTCGAAGATTGCGCGGCTCTAAACGTGTGTGTTTACCCGCGGCCATGTGTGTTTACACTTTTGCACTGTCTCGTGCAAGTGCCGTCTGACGAGGCAACACGAAAAGCGTAGTCGGTGGAACCGCAGGCAATCGGTGCTCGTGAGGCAACGTGTTCAGACGAAAAGTTTCATTCGCCATGAATAAGTTGAGTTGCATCGGCGTGTCGTTGGCGGCGAAGATAATCGGCACTTACACAATGGTGAGTTCGGGATTATTCGCGCGCGGACGCGAATTTTTACTCCTTTCTTCATCCTTTCCCTTCTCTCCTCTTTTCCATTGTGCCAACCAATTCGAGAATGGTCCGATTTGTGTAGCGCATCGATATCGAGGACGCAATCGAGGCAGATAAGAAATCATGTCAATGTCACAAGGTCTCTGTGTGTTAAAAGTGCTCGAGAACGAGAACATCGCTTGTGCAATGTGACTGCATCGAAATATTCAGTGACGTGAATTACAAAAACTTGCTTTTAGATCTTATGCACACGTACATCACACCATTCGCACACAGTATCGATGTTATTAGCAATAAATGATATCGTTAAAAACACTACTCACCGTCTTAAGAATAAATTTGCAAACTGGTCGAACATTGGAGTAGAAAACGTGTACTTTTATAGATTTATATTTTCCGTCGTCATTCGGCTTTTCGTTTTCTCCCTTAGTCTGTGTCAATCCTAATGATAAACGTATCGATGAGCAACTTCTTCTCGAGAAAAGGAGAGGAGGACTTCTTCGATTCCTGCAAGATCTGGGCCATGCTAGGACTGAATTGGATACAGGCTTTGAGGAACATGCAGCTACAGAAGAGAGGTAAATGTCGATCGCGTAGATTAGTAGATAGATGCGTAAATTGCTCCCGCAAATTATCGATAACCGACTTTCGCATATGTTTCAGCTCAAATTGCCATGACGTGTTTCTTCATATATGCTCTGCTATTTTTACTAGCCAGCGCGTGTCTCGCATTGGGCTCAATATTGGTGAGCGTTTCATCAAAGTACATCACGTAGAATTAGCGAAATAAATTTCCGGTCAAACGGTAGAATATTAATATCATAATTATAGATTATTCGTGGCGTTAAAAGGCTGAGGAATTCCACGCAACGCTTTGTTTACGAGAGTTTGTTTGCGGTTTTCTTTATCCTTCTCTCTTGTCCTCACACGACAAAGGTCGCGAATAAAGCCGCCGATCGAATACAAATTTGTCTCAGACGCTCTTTATCCGTGAGATATATTTCGAGCACGTAACAACCTTGTCGCCACTCGCTAACGACCGCGCTAACTTCCGCGTACGTTCACAGAGAAGACATAAGTGCGCCGTGCCTTGGATGTATTTGCAAATGATTAGCATAATAGATCAGTCTGTGGCGTTATCAATCCGTCTGTCACACAGCCAGCAGCAATACGATGCTTTGGAGAAATCTGCGTGGTACATTCCGGTATCTAGCGTTTATCTCAGTGAGTATATTCAAATTTCTCATTATCTCCGCGGTTACCAACTGATCCAAACTGGAATAATAAACTGTAGTTCGCTCCTTGCGAACTTTACGCTCACCGGAAGAAATGCGAACGAATTATACCGAGATTTGTCTTTGAGAAAAGAAAATTTTTAGAATATCATTTAATTTGAGGACTCCACGGAAAATGTGACAGCCGTATTATGCAATGTATAATTATAAAAAGAAATGTCTAATATTAAAAAAATTAAATTGTACTACGGAATGATTTGCGAAATTTTCGTTAAAAAAAATCAATCAGGAATTTCACAAAGTGACGCATACAGAACATTTTCTATGCAAAGAATATACACTTGACGAACATTTCAGTTGTCAGCATATACTTCTGGGTGATCGTGCAAACGGCTCGAAAACGATGGTTCAATGAACAGCAGGATCGTGTCAACTACGTAACTACGATATCGATTCCTTTACCGGCACCTGTAGACAGCAGCTGCACGAAGACACCGTCGTTCCTTTCGCAAAACTTCTCGATGTTCGAGTCGCCGCGACCACCGACCGTCTTGTCGAAATAACGCCGAAACGCGCTGAAGAAAGTTGTGAAGTGTGAACTACTGAAAACGATCTGGGTGAACTCATCGAGCGCGGAGCATGTTGTGAAAGTTTCGCGACTGCGATCGTTTAAAAAACAGTGTGGTGAAGTGGCGAACAAGTGTTTTTCCGGATACTTTGCGAACGCTGATTTAGCATCGTGACTCTCAGCAAGAGACTTGTGCTGCAGATATATAGTATATTTATTTTCTACTTGCGAGACAACGTTCTTTTACATCACGGAATAAAAATCACCGATTGATAAGTCACCGGCACTTCGCCGATGTCACTGATTTATTCGCGAGTTATGCGGCATTGCGGAGCATTTAGATATTAAGCCGGCAGAATATCCATTGATCTCCTTTGCCTAATGGAATATACGCGAGCCACTAAACTTCGCCGCGGCGAATTCCGCTTTCGAAACGGAGGGGGAAATGTATAATAATGCAGAGAGCAACTCCATAAATCAGTCGGGAGATGCGGCTAATAGAGTGTATCAAATGCGCCCTCGGTGGAGAGCGTGCTTGCATAGAAAATATGAGAAATGGCCGCGTTTTACGTCGGAATACTTTTAAACTTCCTGGATTCGAATCGCACGCGAGCATATTCGCTATACTGGATCGTGCGTCTCTTCGGATAGAGGCCGATTTGTCCGTGAATGGCCCCAACTTTTCGCGATACTCTCGAGAATAGTGATCGAGAGTGTAACGGATAATAGATAAAGGTTCTCGGGGACAATTTATTGCGGATGTTTCATCGTATCTTACTTACTACTCGTAGATTTGCGTTTGCAAAAACACTTGCGCAGCTCCGCAACAACACGCGCACATCTATATACTACACTTATATCTTTGCAATTTTATTTTTTTTTTCTTTATGGATAAAAACGCATTGGGCGATTTAAAATTTCGTTCAACAAGTGTCTACTCTACTTCTACTTATCAGCAGACAGATAGAAAAATTCAACCCTCGATGCGGTACAATATTCATGTAATATAGTTTACACTGTTTCGAACAGTAGACTTATCAAATCAATTTATCCTCATTAGCAAAGGGAATAAACTAAAGGAAGCGACGCTCGCGATAAGTTGAAAGAAGTGAAAATAAATATTTTTGTCGAACGAAACGAAGACGGCAGTCTATCCTGCTTGTGACGAGGTAATACTTTTGGATTTTTCAGTCGTCGACACGCTCCTGGCGCCGAGGAGACAGACGGAGAGCGACGGCTGTGCGACGTGGTTGGTTGCCGGTGCTTTTAAAAAGAACTGAGCGAGTCAATTTGTAGGCTGTCGCAAACTTTTAAAACACTAGTTGACAGCCGTTCCACCCCCGTTGCAAGGCCCGTCCAACCATCCTGAAGGATTCCTCCACCTCTCTGCTTCTCTCACCCCGTTTCTTCCCTTCTCCCCTCCCCCCCCTCTCTCTCTCTCTCTCTCTCTCGCTCTCTTTCTCCTTCGATCGTACCGCCACTGAGGGACGAGGCTCACCCCTGCGTGTCGCGGGAGCCGATGGATTGTAAAATAAAACTAACTTGGCTCTTTCGTGGCTCGGAAACGGAGCACCGGCGAAATCTCATTCCCGCGGATCTCTTTTATTTTCGTGTATCCCTTTTTTCCATCCCCCCCTCCCCCCGCGAAGAAGGGAGCTCGACAGTTGTCGAGTACAAGCAGCGAGTCACGTCTGTTCGGAGAAATGATAAAGTTTGCCCTGAGAAAGGCGCCTAATGAGACCTTCGCCTTACGGGATTCATGCTTACTTGCCAAAAGCATCGTAACCTTTCACCCCTATCTTGGATCACAGCTAGCCAGCTTTCTCCCGTTTAGGAGAGTGTACATGATAAGAAACAATAGAAGCAATAAATACTAATTATTCTTTACCGATGTACTCCAACGAACCATCGGTCTTGTAAGATTTTACGGGACAAATCAAGCCCATGTAGGCGCAGTTAAATTACGGAGAAATTAATTTTTATATAACTTATTAAATATATTTTCGGAGCTATATCGATATATGGGAAGTTTCGTCCACATACTGCCGCATCTCGAAGTCACTCTACACAATGAAATTCATACGCTCTCCCAAGCCGTATCATCTTTATCTTTGGCTCACCTGCGCGATTTTCCCCAAAACCGATTTCACTCGCGAGCTCGCCTACTTTGAGCCGTATCGAGCGGACGAAGAAGAGAGTACCCACTCGTATGACACACATAAAACGTAGCCGCGACGTAATTAATCTTCTCGCATGACACTTTAGCCGGTTACGGGGCAGAGCTTGCCAAGAACCAGAACACAACATACCACTTAAGCCCGCCGCCCAGAAAACAATTAATACGGGAATTGATTAATAATTACCGCGTCCCAATTTCCACCCTCTCGGACTCTCGCTAGTCACCAGCGGCGATGAAAAAGAAAAAGGGAAGGCAACTCGTATATCAATAATCCCGTAAAAACACACACACCAAACGAAGATCGAAAATGTTCCGCCGTCGCCGCCGCCGCCGCCGCCGCCGCCGCCATCGTAGCGCCGCAGCGTTCGCTTGTTATGTAAATTTGACGCGAGTAATTAATTTTCTGTTATTCAGGCGGCACACACTCGGTTGTTTTCTTTTCTTGTCATTTTTATCTAGTCACGTTTCCGTCGCATTCCATCGCATATTTTATGCGTTCGAGTTACTTTTTCTCCTCGATACAATCGGCTTCTTTCTCCGTCTCCCTTTTTCTCCTCATCTTTCTCTTTTTTCTATCCCCCTACGTAATACTTCCCCGAGCAAAGTAATCATTTCCGCGACATCCGCGAACGACGAAAATTCCATGGTTAAAATTGGCGACTTATCGTCGAAGTTTAAACCATCGCTCGTTGTTCCGCTCCTTTTGTGGCATTTATTCGTGCCGGGAGAGCGGAGAGCCGATTTGGCATTACTTTTCTAGACAGACAGATTTTATTGATCTGCACTGTGGCGGCTCTCTTCCTCCCTCGCTCGCTGCCTCGCTGTCTCGCTCTTTCTCGAAAGAGTGCGGGCCTGGGAGTCAGAACGAGAGAGAGGGAGAGAGAGAGAGAGAGAGAGAGAGAGAGAGAGAGAGAACGGCGGAACTGAACGCCCCATAAAGCTAACCAATGCTAATACTTCTCGTCTCGGCAGTGGCGTCGGTGCCGGACACCACGACGCCCGATCGTCGATTCGCTTCGATCTGCCCGGGGAAAAGCACCGACGCCATTGGCCCGAACCGGAATCGGCAATAAACGCGTAACCGAGCCTAATTCGTAATGTTGGCCCAGTCATTGTGGACCATTGTGAACTCCCCGTTCTCCGTTCGCCGGGGACGACGAGTATAATGCTGGGGTTATCGCAGGAAACTGCCAGTAACGGTGGCGAGAGGTAATGCACTCTCCTCGATGCGCTGTCGCGGACCGTCCGGCTCCCTTATTTGAGTTTTATCGCGCGTCGCTTGCCACTAAATTGATATTCACAACACTGAGCCGAGATTACTAATTTATGGACGAGCGATGAAATCGCCGAGCTCGCGTATTCGGGTCTTGGCTCGACAACATGGTTCATCCAAGACGCGATGCGAAAGACCCAGTCGCGATTTCACTCGCGACTTTCAAAGCACGAAAGAGTTGCAAAAATGCAATCTGAAGGAATATTATTCACGTCACAAATATAAATTCGCACAAAATTAAACGACTCGTATCAGAAAACAAATGTCGTGTATCGAAAGATGGAACACTTTCATCGCCAGCGGCCAGAGCTTAATATGCCCAACGGGGGCAAACTTGGGGGCGAACAAATTCCTCCGCGCAAATTTTTGTAACCATCAGCATCGGAATGTCCATCTCCTCTCGCACATGGGGAGTCGATTTATCGTCGACCCTCGGTAATTCCAGCATTCGCGACACTGCATCAACGTTTTTCTCCCTCTCTTGCCTGCGTCTAGTGACTGTTGTGCCGGACGATCCCGAGACATTGGCAAGATTCAATAGCTGTGACAAGATAAAAACCGTGCTAAGCCCACACAGGCTTGCCATATAACCGCCGCACAACGAATAAAACGTAAAGATCCACCGGTACAGCTGTCGATGAACTGTTCTTTCCTCTCCTTTGGGAACATTTCCGCGAGGGAATTAAGGAAATAGCGAATATTCAATCTCACTTAACGTTCAGATTTAATTACCAGCGATTTCCATTGTGCATAATTTACTTGAGCAATATACATAGTGCTAAATTTCAAACGTAACAGGTAAAAAATCTCGAAAACTATGAAAGATATTAAAAAAAGCTACTAAAACACGTGTTCCGTGATTTCGAAGGGGAAGGAGAATTGCATTATCAGTTTTTTATTTGGAGGGCATTTTCAAGGTCAGATGAAGGTCAACTTAATTTTTTAAAATAGAAAGCCCAATTTTTTATCATATCTTCTTTCTCTAACGATTAATTTGAACAACTTTTGTCTGAAACATTTTTTTATTTATTTTCTGAAATATTTTCTGAAATATTTAAGGAAAACTTGGTAACTTTTTCAACATTTAACTTACGATATCTCGCTAACCATTCGTCGAAAGAAAAAAATAGTATTAGACCTTTTTACTTTATTTACTATTAAAAATATATTACTATAATAGTATATTACTATAATAGTTTTGTTAATTTAATAAAATTTGAAATTTCCAAAGGTCGATAAATTAACAAAAGTTAGGGCACTATTATAGTATTATCTAATCTTATAATAAGAGTCTAATACTATTTTTTCTTTCGACGGATAGTTAGCGAGATATCGTAAGTTAAATGTTGAAAAAGTTACCAAGTTTTCCTTAAATATTTCAGAAAATAAATAAAAAAATGTGTCAGACAAAAGTTGTTCAAATTAATTGGTAGAGAAAGAAGATATGATAAAAAATTAGGCTTTCTATTTTGAAAAACTGATAATACCATTTTCCCCATCTTTCCCCTTCGAAATCATGGAACACGTGTTTTAGCTTTTTTTAATATCTTTCATAGTTTTCGACATTTTTTACCTGTTACGTTTGAAATTTTGCACCCTGTATATTGCACAATTTTTTTCATTTATTTGACACATGGGAAACGAGCGTTGTAACAGCGATGTATTGATAGCGCGACGACACACGAGGTCGATATTTCACGTTGATAGGAATAAGAAATCAATTTCGCGGCGAATAATCCTTGTGCGTAGGGTCCGAAGGAATTGAGTTACGCCGCTGAGGCTGCGCTAAGGAAAATCGCGAGCAACCCGCCCCGAAAAGTTCGT